CGTCCAATCCGTTTCGCAAGAGTGCTGCCATAACGGTAGACTCAGCTTCTTTTCCCAATTCAACATCCTCCGCCGCCGCTCGTTTCCCTGCTCTCGACCAAATTGAAACAGCACCTACTCCTCCGCCTCCGACCAGCTTCCAGCAAGTTGGCTCTTCAACCGTTGACTCGAAATCTAAGATTACCAAAAAAGTCCGCGTACTATCACCCCCGCCGCTGTCTCCCGACTCTCCCGAATGGGCATTTGCGGCACCTTCTATCGCGCAACAGACCGCGAACCAACAGAATGAGGACGATCCGTTCGATGCAACGTCTAACGACGATAGCGACCGCGAAATGGTAGCTGCGGCTGCCCATGGCTATGCTCCGAATGGCGGTCAGGGCATAGGAAACCCATTCAGCAAGACATTACGCAGCGTTGATTACCCCGTCGCAGAACAAAAGCTTGAGCATGAGCGCAAAGAAGAAGGGCAGGCGCTTAAAGCCGCCAATACAGCCAGAAGGTCTCTGGACGTCAATTCTTTCAAACGATTACTGATGACGGGTAATACGGAGTCGGACAAGTCTTCGCCGCCGAGAATCCGACAGTCGATGCCGCCACCAGCGAAAAACACAAAAGACCGACCGTCTGTTTTCCGAAGAATATCACATGATGATTCCAAAGATATATCGACCCCCGAGAATGCACTCCAAGAGGCATCTCTCATATCTGAAGAAGCCTCGGATACCCCGGAAGATGATATTGATCAAGAGAACGTTTCTGACTCAAGCACTTCTGCCCAGCTAAGCACAAAGAACAGCAAGAGACCGCCGCCGCCACCTAGCTCGCGACATGGCAAGTCCATCAAGCTGGATCTGGTTGGTCAGGCATCTCGAGAACCTCTTGCAACACTGTCATCAGATATGAACAAACCGCTTCCGCCCGCGCCGGTGAGAAGAAGTATGGAAGAAGGAGGCGACTCACCGTTTGACCGTGAAGCAGCTGGCAAAGTTCCAGACGCTGAAGGTGATGTGGGATCAGCATCGCCAGAACCATCAGGCGGCAGCCGTAAAGCAGTTCCTGCACCACCACCTCGACGAGGTCACGCGAGAGGAGAGAGCAAGGCCCATGCGTCTGGTCTAGGCTTGACACAGCAGCATTTTGTGCACAATGAAGAGAACTTATCACGGTCATCGTCTATGAGATCCCGACCTGAGCACAACCGACGTGACTCACATGCAGCAGCACCTCCACCTCCACCGCCTCCACCAAGATCTCATCACACCTCGAGACAGTCGACGCAGATACCATTGGGGGTGGCCTCAAGCCTCACGGACCTGAGCCAATCGTCATCATCTCCTGCCCCATCCCTGGATGTCGATATGAGCACCACCTCCACGCCATCACAGCTGCGTCAATCTTCCACAGTTGAGTTAACGCCTCCGAGAGATACGCAATCAGGAACACATCAGCCTGTGACGACAACAAAATCTTGGGCTCCACCACCACCACCTGCGCGAAACACATCTGTTCGACGGCCTGCGAGTATCAGAAGTGTTGACAGCAGTAGCCGGCGGATCTCATTCGAAGCAAAACCCCATAATCAGATGGCACCCCCTCCACCACCTCGAAGGCAACGAGGCAGCAGCCGTGGCAGCGTCGATGGACCTCGGAGGACGAGTCTTGATGGTGTAGGGAAGGCTGGATCGAGTCAAGTGGCCGAGGAGGAGCCTGACAATGTCGCAGCGACAGTCGGCTCGGGTCCCACATCTCCGCAATCGGCAAACGAGCCAGGGAAGAGTGTTGACATCTTGGCTGACCTGGACGCCCTACAACGAGAGGTGGACGCCCTGCGGGGAAAACTGGGATGACGAGGTGCACGCATACATACGACGGAGATGCATGCATGAAAGCGAGTAGAAGCATGTTGGAATGTGTTGATGGTTGTACAAAAGAGGAGCGTGGCGACATGCAGTCGAAGCTTTAGTCTTAGTGGAGTGGGAGCTGAGGACGAGGGAACGGACGAACGAAAGAAAGAAAGAGAGCAAGAAAGAACATAATATGTATGGATGTGACATTATGCGGGCGTTTTGATGGACAGGACTCTGGCATGATAGAGTTGTCTGGTTGGTCTTTGTTCTACTTTATCTGTATGGGAAAAGGTGTTGTAGATGAATATCATGATGCCAGGCATGGCAAGTTGATTGAGTTGTCAGAGACAGAAGTTAGCATAATGGAAGTGATGTTTGACGATCATGATGAGGATTGAGGATTGCATGCACTCTGTCGTGCTCTTGGATGACCGTATTGGTGTAGTGCTCGCCTCTACTCAGCCACCAGGACACATACAGTACAGTACAGTTCAGTACACACACACGCACACACACTACCGATGGACTTAGATATGAGTCGTCAGGGAGACCCTTGTCATGAGCTAGCTGTTTAGCAGTTTGGCGTCTGAACCCCGAAGGATCCGTGACAGTTGAAACATATGACCATGAAAAGTGTAATTGTTTCTAGTGAGCGAGCACGAGAGCATAACAATACTATTGTGAGTATTTGTGAGCCTTTATTGACAGGCTTGCATCTATCTGTTCTATTCTGTTCCTTTCCATGTACACACATATGTATATTTGTTGTCTGCTCACTCCGTCATGTCGTATTGGGCGACATGATCAACGTGGTGAGAAGGGGGGGAGGGGGGGCCTCTCTGTGGCTTGTGATTGGGGGCAATGATCTTCACTGCGACTAGGGGAATTTTGCCAGAGGGCGCACGGGATGGAGGGTTCTTTTTTTCGAGAAGGTCTGCCAGGGACAAGGATCTTCACTGCTACTGTAAAGGTACAGACGCTACCTCCAACAAAGACCAAGTACTGTATCGTTAGTAACCTGGACGTCCACTCGACGAGGCGAGTCGGTGAGGGGAAGGGTCAAAGCACGACATACATACTTACCTATCTGTCACTTTATACAGCTTTAAAGATATTGAGATACTACAGTACCTACTAAGCTAACGGTACATACAGTCCCTTGTTGTGAGCTGGTGACTAATACCATGTACCTGGTTCATATGCCATACCATAATGGAACAGGCGGTATATACTAGCAAGTTGACGCAACAGAGATCCCACTTGGACCCAGACAGCGACAGCGACGGCGACCCCTCTTCTTCAAACGGTCAAATGGGTCGAGGTACAAGTAAGTTAGAGCTAACAAGCTGTAAGTGAGTGAGGGACCTTGTATGGATGGAGACGCCCCCATCACGACAGCTCAGCTTGTGTCACGCACGCTCTCCGTCTCCCTCTCCGTCTCCCTCTCCTACGGTAATGCAATGCACTCTCAGTGCATCTACCAATCTATCTGAGGTAGGTATAGTACCTCTTAAATAACCCAGCAAGGTAGCACTCGCCTTATCTTACCTCGCTCCTACTCCTCTGCCTCTCCTCCTCTTCTTCCTCTTCCTCTTCTCTTACATTATTTCCCTCGCTATTATAACGACATCAACTTCCCTTCTTCTCTGCAAATACTTAAACTCATCCCTCCCCATAGATCTCGACATTCTCCTTGACAGCAATCCTCTTTAATCAGCATATCTCTTCTCTTGTCATCTCTTCCTTCTCTTGTTGGACCCATCTCTGTATTTAAGACTCATCTACATTTACATGCCTCTTTGTCTCTTCTACCGTCTCACCCGTGCTGTCTCGACGCTCTTCACTTTGACTCTCTCATAAGATACTCGATCAATCTCAATTCCACTCATCACCCAATCTCACAATGTGCTACGCCAACCTCGGAACTCTCATCTGTCAAGCCTGCGGCCGCCGCGTCGGCGAACAACCCGTAGGAACATCACCCTGCCTCACCGTCTGCGGCAAATACGTCTCACGCGTAACTGGCACCGTAGTCAGCGGCGAGTGCGGTGTATGCAGCGATGCAAAAGAGCAGAGGAGCCAAATGACCGTGAGGCTAAACCGGGCTTTCAGCAAGTGACGCACCGCACCCAGAGCTCCAATGCGGCATTATTCAACCCTCCAAGTCATCTGTAAGGTACCCTACCAGGTGTGAGATAGGATGGTAAGCTCTGCTTACGCTATCTGGGAAAAAGGACAAAAGACAACCCTGTACTGACATACTTGTCAAGAGGCATTCAGGCTCTATCAAGGGCAAAATGGCATTGCCTGCAACTCGGCTCTTACGGGATGGTTATACCCGTACGAAAGCCGGAACTCATACAATGAGGCCATACCGCCCACTAGTTTATTTCTGTTCGATAACATTTCCACGCTTTACGACTCATGGTCTTACGATTTACGGCGGCGTTCACGGCATAATGCTCAGTTTCAGTTTGGTACACGAATTAGATGGAGCATCAGAGTTACTTTCTGTGTTTGACGACAGCAGCAGTCTTTCATTTCTTGGCTGTCCTTGTATTCTCACTACTACTATACCCATGATTACTACTATTCAATAAATTCACGATAACGACATGCCGCTGCTGCATGTGCCACGCGACAGGGCGTCGTGTGGAGTTATCGTTGTCATGAGACCTTATGTAAAATAACGGTGTACACGAACGAACTAATGCGACCAGCACGGTAGTGCATGTAACTGCATTACCGAGGTTTCGAACCGTACATACGTAGTACTAGGGGAGGAAAGAAAACTCATGCCCTTGATCCTAAGTGACAAAAAAAAAGCTAAGGTAAATTTACATAAACTGAGCATACCTTTATTAAGTTTAGAATATCTTTTGTTGAGTTCATTTTGGCACCCTGTATTAGAGCCTGATGTTTTCTTGCTCCCTAAGGTCGTACGTACTATTGTACCCACTGGATTAAGATTCAACGGTATTTGTGCTTATCCTTCTTGATATAATTCTAGATACTATCTGTGACACTCGGCACCAAACTCTCTCAAATAAATATTGCTTATTATTCTATATGGCTCGAGTGTTTGGATTTTCCTCTAAATGCTGACTAGATTGGTAAATTGCCTCGACAGATCTCGTTCCCGCCGACCGATCACAGGCCTACAAGCCCTCGTACAAAAGCCGCCGCAGGCGGTATTGAAGTAAATAAGACAGTGATAGTCCCAAAAAGACTCATCGACAAGCTCGACAAGGCTGCAGCTCGAGGGTCTGTTCGCAACAAGACTGAAGTCGCGATGGCGCTCGAGTTAACACCTAGTGTCACTCCGCGGGTCACGTAGTCGTCCTCGGGGACTCGCAGCCAGCGCAATATGCGCGCCCCGAGCACAGCGCCCAAAATACCACTGATGATGGCCAATGCAGCAGCAGTATTTACATCTCCTCCTAGGTTGTCAGTCGCGGGGACAGCGAGCGCCAGCGTCAGGCTGCGCGATGCAAAAGCGAGGCTGCGGGCTGCCGAGATGCCGCAGGCGTAGCACAAGGGCGGGTATGCGAGCAGCGAACCAACACTGATCGCAACGTTGGGTATGACGATGGAAATGAAATGAGTGCGAAGCTCTCGTCGGTATTGAAACATGGGCAATGCGAGAGCTACAATACTAGCATCGAGAAGGGTGCCGAAGACGTCACCGGCGCCGGGGAGAAGATCTTTCTTCGAAGTTGCGTTGCGCCATAACTGTATATACTTTGCGCCTGTGCGGTAAGCGTGAAGCGTGGTGGTCAAGCTATCGCCACGAATTGCAGCAAGTGCCCATATGATAAGGACTGTTGCAAGAGACGACACCAAGACTGGATGAAGATATTCTTTCCATTTAGGTGTAACTGACAATGCCCCGAACCAGGCGAGAACATTCACGGCAAGGTGAAGTGGCATAGCATAACCGGTTGAGTAATAGAGAGGAATGCCAATAAAGGCAAACAGTCCTACGAAGATCGCCACATCGAGATTTGCAGATATACGGGCCGCCCACAACTCAGCCTTTGGCGGCGGCAGAGGAATCTGTGTGAGAACAGTCGTGGGATTGAGAGCTTCAACAGCATTCACTGGGGCTTGACCATTTGCATAGTGATGTTCTTGAAGCCGCAATTGAGGTGGAGTCTGTGGTCGCGAAGGCGCCGCTGACGTTGGCTCCGAGTTCGGCGCGGATACAGACATAAGCGGTATTTGAGAGCCAGCTCGAGATACGCTCGTGCGACGTGATATGCCGGGAGAGTTGACATCTCCTGTCGAGAGATCTGGTGTTTGACGGCCGAGCTCTTCAGCTCGTTGGGACCTTGAACGCCTCGAGACACCAACAGCAAGTTGGAGACTGCGGGTAATCCAAGCTGCCATAGCCATCATGATAAAGAAGCCAATGACTAGAATCGTTAGAGAATGGTCTATATGTGGACTCGAACGGTGACATACCAAAGATTGCAATAATGACCATGACTTCAACGATGCCAATAGGAGGACTGAGAGGTAACAGGACGAAAGACGGCGTAAAGAAGATGCCCATCCACCGAAGCGACCAGCCGGCCTAGAAAGATGAGACATGATAAACTTGTTATTGAAAAGGCTAGCCATGACTTACAGGCACGTCAATGATATTGACCAGCTTTCTTGTCTTGTGAGTACCCAATAATGACTCACTTGCGATAAGAGCAAAGAAGAGTAACATCATGCAGGTAACAGAAGCAGGAAATGAAACATTGAACTTGTAGAATATTGAATCAACTCCAAAGTTGACAGCGAGTATTATTGTGATACCGAGTGGCACATAGAACCAAGCACGGACGAGCTTGGAGCTGTTCTTGTTAGCAGCCTGCATCGTGTTAGTCAAGTCGAGGGTTCTTCTGATGAGTGATTGGCTCACCAATTTGATGGCTTGCATCAATTGCAAAAGGTCGCTGGTATCTGCAGCCATTTTACTCTCTGTACTCTGATAAGGATCATAATATTGTCTCGAGGGAGCGATTGAAGTTAGTTGACCAAGCACCGAATCCCGGAGGACCCTGGTCATGTGCGTTAGCCCGGGCGACCCATCCATAGGTAGTAGGCAGGTAGGCTAGGTAGGGGACGAAAGAAAACTCAGGATCTTGATCCTAAATGATGAAAAGACTTAGGTAAATTTGCATGAATTGAGGATACCTTTATTAAGTTTAGGGTATCTTTTGCTGTTTTGACACCCTACATCAAGGTCCGGTGGTTTCTTGCTTCCTGAGGGTAAGTTGTATGAGCTAGAGATAAGACAACATCAAATGGTTCAGTCAAATGAGATTCATACCTGGGAGAGCCAGAATGAAATCTCCTTTTATTTACTGCCCTGTCTCGTATGCATCAGCCCGATTAGCCGAGAAGTCATGATAAAATGTAAGTGACGGACTTCAGCTCCCGTGTCATGGATGCGATGGGGCTCATTGAAAGGAACTGACGATGCACTTCCTTGGGAGATAAAGCACCAAGAAGCAGGAACGGTTTTCAGATCGACGGGAGGCTCTAGAAGCAGAAGGTTGCGCTCCTCACTTTTTAGCCGCGGAAACGTCTCTGCGGATGTGATATTGGATCCATACATCTCCCTGATATCACGATATAAGATACCGACCTTATTCATCACCCCATTATCCCATCATATCCCTCTTTGCTGGCCTTTTGTGAATTAGTTATGTGACGTGATGCTCAAGTCGGTCCGATGTTATCAGAGATGGGTTCCTCTCTGCCTGAGGAGATAATTCAGCCAACAAAGGGCGATACAAGCATCGCGTGTGGCCATCTTAAACCTGGCGTCGGAGCAAGCCGAGCACGGAATCACAGTCACGCGTCAAGGCATGGAAATACCACGAAAATGCTTCAGCGAAAGTTCGAATGCGGATCCGAAGATATAGACGCTGCATTACATGGGCCGTCGTTCAATTTGATGAGCCAGGAACAGGCGATGCACTCTTGTCCGGAACTGGGATGCCGAGACGATCATCCATGGGTAATGATTCACTGTTGACCGGCGGGTGTGACGCTTCATTAACACAATATAATACAGCGTTCTGCGCCGGGCTCAAGAAGTTCTCGAAATAGCCCTCACCGACAGAGTCCACTCTCCCAACCAGCAACACCAACAGGTCTCCTGCACCGTCTTGAGAATCGATTTCGACGAGCTCAACCCTAGGAATCTCCGTTTGGATCGAGTCGATCAATATCATCAACCTCATTAGTTGAATCAGCAGACGGTCCAACATATCAAGCTGGCAAGGAACGTAGACGAAGGGCACGCGACTCTGAAGTCAATCACCGTAACTCATCCGCCGAAGATTCGGTGCCGGTCATCTCGGCTCCGGTGGACGGCGAAGAAGGGACTCGCCAGTTGGCGGTAGCGGGGGTAGCCTTGGGGACATTAGACCTCGACCGCTTGAGTCGCATGGCGAGAAACGACGAGACCAGAGGAAAGACTGGAGAGGCATAATGCCAATGTCACTGTAATCTTCAGAAAACGAGGCGTCAGGGGAGATTTCCTATCCGAGGCAGTTGGCCTGCAACTCTTGTCGATCATTGGATGTGAGCATGGATTATTGAATCATTGGGTACGTAGCAAAGCTTTAGCTGTTCTTGACTGTATCGGTATTCAACCAAAAGACACCGATTCATTCATCGGCAAGATCATCTTGGACCCGAAACAACCTAAATTGGGATAATGATCCTCATGTTTCAAGTATCACCTACTCCAATTGGCTGTAGTTTTCGTTGTCTTCCTCGGTTCCGGGGTCCAAAAGCTGGGGTTAGCGACACTCACGGCTCCGGCTCGCGTCGGATGACTTCATCTGGTGGGCTTCAATTGCCGGCGCCCTTTTGCCTGCCAACTCAAGCCTGCGATGCTGTATCTTTTAACTACTCAGCTTCGCCTCGAGATCTTGATCTGATTCATAACACATCTGCCCATACAAATCACCTTCCTCAACCATGTTCCGCCCTATCCTCAGACAATGCGCTCGAAGAGCTGCTATTCCTCTGCGACCATGCGCCACAAGGTCCTTTGCCTCGGCATCTGGACCTACCTTCAACTGGGAGGATCCTTTGGCTTCGAATAACCTCCTGACTGAAGAGGAGCGTGCAATTGGAGAGACTGCAGAGAGATACTGCCAAGAACAATTGCTACCCCGCGTTCTACGTAAGTTGTCTCAAACTCGATATCCAGAAACGCCCACTGACTTTCATGTCTTACAGAGGCCTATCGCGACGAGTCCTACGATCCCAAGATTCTCGAGGAGATGGGCGAGCTTGGTCTATTGGGCGCTACGATAGAGGGATATGATTGCGCTGGTGTATCCTCTGTTGCTGGTGGTTTGATCACACGGGCCGTGGAGAGGGTCGACAGCGGCTACCGATCTGGAATGTCCGTTCAGTCCTCATTGGTGATGGGGGGTATCTTTGAGCACGGTACTGCCGAGCAGAAGGAGAAGTTCCTCCCTCAGATGGCCAAGGGTAAGCTCCTCGGTGCCTTTGGCTTGACAGAACCCAACCACGGCAGTGATCCTGGAAGCATGGAGACAGTGGCAAAGCCTCACCCTACCAAGAAGGGTTACTATTCTCTAAGTGGTTCAAAGACATGGATCACAAACAGCCCTATCGCCGATGTCTTGTTGGTATGGGCAAAGTTGCAAGACACAGGCAAGATTCGAGGTTTCTTGGTGGAGCGCAAGGACTGCCCACCAGGTACTCTCGAGACACCAGCTATCAAGGACAAGAACGGTCTTCGAGCCTCGATCACTGGCATGATCCACCTTGACAACTGCCCTGTGCCAGATGTCAACATATTCCCCGACGTTGAAGGCCTACGAGGCCCCTTCAGCTGCCTCAACAACGCTCGATACGGTATCGCCTTGGGCGTCATGGGTGCTCTTGAGGACTGCATCGCCCGTGCCCGAACATACGCCCTTGAGCGCAAGCAGTTCAAAGGCAACCCCCTAGCCAAGTACCAACTTGTTCAAAAGAAGCTCGCCGACGCAACAACAGATGCCGCCTACGGCACACTCGCCGCCATCCAGGTTGGGCGTCTCAAGGATGAGGGTAAGGCCACACCCGAGATGATCAGCATGGTGAAGCGACAGAACTGCGATACCGCTCTCAAAAACGCACGAGTCCTCCAGGAGATCTTTGGAGGCAACGCTGCGAGTGATGAGTACATGATTGGCCGACATGTGGCGAATCTCTATGTGACACAGACTTACGAGGGCCAGAGTGATATTCACAGTGAGTTTACCTGCATGACGGGAGTGATTGTTGCTAACAGATATTACAGGTCTTATTCTGGGACGTGCTATTACTGGTGTCCAGGCATTCGTGTAAATGAGGAGTGATTGGTCAGGAGGCGATATAAAAGAACCATTGAGGTGCATACCCGTGTTATAGATGCTTGGAAAGCAAACATACAGTTTCCAGTGCAAGGCATTTAGCCAATCGTTTAATCTGGTTTATATGGCCTTAAAACAGTACAGTAGCATGGCATTGACGAACAACAAAAGACGATTTACCAGAATAGCATTTGCTAGGTGTGTTCTTGCTTAGAAGTCGTGAAGTTGATGTTTGGTGTTTAGCGCTCACTCAGCCTGGATTATTATCAAAACGAAACCTCACCTTAGAATCAGTGACGTCGTTGGTCTCTACAGACTGTGTATGACTGACTGTCAACCACCAGCCAGTGATGCCGTCAAGTTCCGCGTCCGCTTCCGGTCCCGGGGCCGGGCTCGGCAGTGTTAATTCTGATAATCAGGTAATGTATGCATCTAAATTCCTGCCGCCATTCCCGTGGCAATCGCGAAGAGAGAGGCTAGCCCACGCTTGTATATATCATAGTACACGAATCATGAGTCAACGAGTGGTCAAATACCATGAGGAAGCATCTGGAAGTTATGGCAAAGGCAAAAAGTCGATAGGTACTCTCCCAAACTATAACGTACCCTGCTGGCCTCGACCGCCACCTAAGTATTATTACTCACTGCTGCTAAATCTTGCCCTGAGCCTGAGGTTGACTGCCTGAATCTGAAGGTAGTTCGGCCTCGTGAATGCTGTATAATCTTATTGTCATGAGTAAATAAGCATCGAAACCCGGCGAAGAACAGTTAGTGACTACCTACCTACTAATCTACGGTTCGTGAAAGCCAAGCCCACTACGGGTGCCCTCCACTGTATCAGGGCCCAACGTAAAAATCTGTAGCCAGCTGTTAGTGCTCGGGTACCGCTAAACACTGATTCGCCCTCAGCAGTGGCGGTGTCCCCCCTTCTGGAGCGCCGCCCAGCTGTGGCCCAGTCACAGGCGATGGAGGGCCTAAAAAAACCTGACTTTTCGGGCTGCCACTCCCGTCTCGTCTGGACGGGAGGTGCCAGCGCAGCCACTCCTCCAAGCCAGTCCACCTCAGTCACTCACCCGCCCGGGCACGTACCAGCACAGTACAGCACAGCACAGCACCGCACGCACGCACGCATTTACTCACGCCTTCCTTCCTGCTCCGCTTCTGGGTCTCTCTCTTTGTTGACCCTCCTTCCCCTTCTTTCCTACCCCCATTTGAACGAACCATCTTCCTCCAAATCCCGCCTCTCTCTTCTACTTTCTTCAGCCTCGACTGAATTTCTTTTACGCTTACATACTCCGACTACCCAAACAACTTTCTACCACAAATATCCATCATAAAACAGTCTTTGTGCACTGTTTTCTATCCCGGACGATCTTTCCCATCGATCGTTGTTGTGCGTCCTTTCCTTCGAATCCTTCTTCCTTCCCGACCGCTCGTCCTGCAACCCTTCGACTAACATCTTTGTCCAACCTAGAACGACCGCGATACCTCGCAACAAACCCTTTAGATACCCCCTCTACACATCACAAAATGGCTCTGAAGCGCATTAACAAGGAGCTCACTGATCTCGGCCGGTAAGTTCGCTCTCTTCACAGGTCTGAGGGGTCAACCAGATTGCCCAAAGACGTCAGGTGGGGGCACTTGGTAAGCGGGGTCCTCAGTGACGACCGACGATGCCAAAGCCCCTCGACGCCTTCAAAGCCTCATGGCTCTCTTCTCTTGACGAACTTTTGCTGACTTTTCTCGTGCAGAGATCCACCCTCTTCTTGCTCTGCCGGCCCTGTCGGCGAGGATTTGGTAGGCATCAACCCTCCCCCACGTTGAGAAGCACGTGGCTCTCAAAGGCGTCATGACTGCCGCAAGCCTCTTCCCAGGACGAACGAGATATCATTTTTGAGAGTACGGCTAACGAATCTGAATAGTTCCACTGGCAAGCTACGATTATGGGTCCTGTAAGTTCACCTCTACTGTGCTTCTGGATGCGCTGCCTGCTCAGATGGCTTTTGGGCGTGGCGAAGCCCTCAGCCGCACGCCGGTGCAGCCGCATCTGCATTCAACGAACAATCACAAGAACAAAGTGGCTGACCAGATCTCACAGAGTGACTCTCCATACTCCGGCGGTGTCTTCTTCCTGGCCATTCACTTCCCTACCGACTACCCTTTCAAGCCTCCCAAGGTCAACTTCACTACCCGCATCTACCATCCTAACATCAACTCTAATGGTAGCATCTGCTTGGATATTCTGCGTGACCAGTGGAGCCCTGCGTTGACCATCTCTAAAGGTACGTCTGATGTGAGAACCCTTTTGGCCCAGGCCCATTGCTTACATATATACCAGTCCTTCTGTCCATCTGCTCGATGCTGACAGACCCCAACCCTGACGATCCTCTTGTGCCCGAGATCGCCCATGTCTACAAGACTGACCGACCCCGATACGAGGCCACAGCTCGGGAGTGGACTCGAAAGTATGCAATCTAAAGCGAATACCAGGGCCGGTGCGGTTAGACTTGGGGTGGTTTCATCTCCCCTATCATGAAGCGACGTGAAACGAACGAGTGAAAGCTTCGCGTGCTGTTGCGAAATGTCTATTAGTCGGCGATACCTATATGGGTGCTTTGCCTGAACCGGGGCTTTGATTGCGATTATGAGGCAATGAGCAACGATACGAAGCGAAGAGGGGAGGAACAACTCCAGACAAACAGACTAGTCTAGTAAGGGATATCATGCGGCTGGATGTTGGGTTTGCATTGACGATGTGTTTTTGGCATCCAGAAACAAGCAGCGTATACAATTTGTGTCTCTATCTGCTATAACTCCGGTGCTTTTGTTGTGTTGATGCTGAATCTTGGTGACATTGAAGTTTGTTTTGAAGAGTCGAAATTAATGACCCAATGGGTGTTTATGAAGCGCCAGCATATGGTGATTCGCACTTGAAGGATACGTCATGGTGAAGGCTGGCGGCTATGCTGAGATGAGCGTGATTAGGCGCCGATAGGGTTGCGGCTGGTTGACAAGACTGGTAATATGACGGGCGCTAGTGGTCAGGAACTTGGTTCATCCAGCATATGTCGGGGTGGAGATCATGAGGAAGTTTACAGTCGGTCCAGTGTTTCTATAGGGGATGTGATGAAATCTAATGGAAGTTGTGCAGGAAATGTCAAACTGAAGTCGAATGAGATTGGTTCGCCAGATAGTTGCAGTTTGTATGAGAAATACGAGCTGAGCTGTCCACATAGACCGTGGCGATGACGAATGTGTTTGGAGATGGTACATGTCTTGGAAGTGAAGTGAAACGCGGCAGAGACAAAGCTGGAACAATGTGATATAGGGCAGAGATTTGATATATTCCATTGTTTCTGAGATATGAGTGGGGGTTTGTTTAGGAGCGGCTCTTGGCCGATATGGAGCAGTGTTTGGGATCGAGTTTGGAGGAAAGTTCAAGAGTTGCTCCTATATAACTACTGATATATGCTCTATTGTATGTCATGTTATGAGAAGGGAGAGATATAATGCCAAGTTGTTTGTCCATTCAGGGGCCCTTCATTATGTTGGGAGAGATAATGATAAACTTGCGGGGGAATGATAGGAAAGCCAAGCGCCGATATTTCTGAGAGACTCGTAGGGATAAAGAGATATCCCAAAATCACATCTCAATAGCATCACAATCGTCAGTTCAACAATGAAGCTGTTGCTCTGTATCGTGGGAATACTTGAGGTGCGTCAATGGTCGTGCCATTCATGGGTCGAGATTTAGAGTCTTTTGCCCCACTCTCGGTGCGACATGCCAGGGAGGGCCAAGTCTTGTCAAACCTGTAACACCGGGGTTTCAGATGAGAACAAGCGTTGACGATGGCCAATCACAGACTACCATTGCTGAGTTGACAGTGAACGACTCGTGCTGGCTTCTGCTAGAGATGCAGACGAAGAGTTAGCTATTGAATAGTATATCACTTCTAGAGGCTCTCAAAGTTCCCAACAACTAGTAAGAACTCAAAGGATAACTACTCTACTCAGATAGAGCCAGCCGTAAAAGTTCATGACTACAGCCCCTGAGGTGAGGCAGAGTCTGTTCGGTTGAACCATGCCTGATACATAACAACTCCTTAAATGGCGTGTTCTCCAAACCCACGTCTCGCTCTCCCATCTCGACTCGAGTCTGCATGTATCTACAGCCTCTCGCTAGAATCTTTAGGTGCATGCCAAGCGCTAACCCCGGACACTCGCCGTCTGTGCCTGGTATCAAGTCCGGTCGCCAAACTCCGTTTTTATTTCTCTACAAGAGGAGACCACGCAATAAAATCATCTCATTCATGTTTTAGGGCCCCTTGAGTTTCGACGGCTTGAATTTCCCTTTTTCTTTTCTGGTTCTTTAGACCCTTGCCCTGCCCTGCCCTGCCTTGCCTTGCTTTCCGCCTCCTCCCCTCTTCTCTCCATTGTTCGCTCTCTTGTGTTTATTCTGTCGACAAGTCATGGTTCGATGAGAAGTTGTGTTTCTTTTAATCTTGAGGCTCTAGACAGCATTTATTCTCATTCTTCTTCTTATTCTTCTTGTTTATATTATACTATTTGAACTGTTTCATTGGCTACGGAAATTCAACTGTTCAGCTGGTTCTGAATAATCGACACTGTCGTTCAAGGTGGTTTATTGATTGGGTTTCGAGGACCGAGGAGCGACAATACGACCAACACCTATCGAAGCAAAGTCCGATAATTCTAGTCGGTTGACTTAACCGACTCAACTCGCCCTCGCTCAAGATGAGCTATCAAATGCAGGATTGGGGAGAGAAGCCCTCAGAGCGATCACGATGGACTCCCCTAACGCGAATGCTGCTATCGGGTGAGATGACCCAAGAGAAGCAACAGGAACTATCGTCAAGAGAAAAGTTTGATCGCTGGATGATCAACGAAGGTTATCGAAGATTGTGAGTTCGCTGGCACGTTATAGTGAGTGATCCAGACTAACATGCTGCAGCTTCGTCTTTGTCTTTATGCTTCTTCACGCACTCATCTTCTCCTTCGCATGCGTCCACTACTCTCAAAAAGAGAGTCTCAAAACCTCCAATGAACTCTTCGGCTTCACCTTCGTCATAGCTCGTTCAGCCGCTCTGGTCCTTCATGTCGACGTCGCCATCATTCTCTTCCCCGTCTCTCGAACCCTCATCTCGCTCCTTCGACAGACACCTCTCAATGGCATCCTCCAGTTCGACAAGAACATCACCTTCCACATCGTCACCGCCTGGTCCATCGTTTTCTGGTCCTGGGTCCATACCATTGCTCACTGGAATAACTTTGCCCAGGTCGCCATCAAGTACAAGCTTGGTATCTACGGCTGGTTGGTTGCCAATTTTGTGTCTGGACCTGGTTGGACTGGCTATGTCATGCTTATTGCGCTGATGGGTATGGTTCTCACGTCGACCGAGAAGCCTCGACGAGCAAACTTTGAGCGCTTCTGGTATACTCACCACATGTTCATCGTTTTCTTCTTCTTCTGGTCTATCCACGGAGCTTTCTGCATGATTCAGCCAGATGTTGCACCGTTCTGCACCAGCGTTGGCGCATCGGCTGTTGGAGTCTTCTGGCAATACTGGATGTACAGCGGTTTCATTTACCTGGCCGAGCGTATCGCACGCGAGGTGCGAGGTCGTCACAGGACATACATCACCAAGGTCATTCAACATCCCAGCAATGTTTGCGAGATCCAGATGAAGAAGGAGCACACAAAGACGCGAGCTGGGCAGTACATATTCTTGTGCTGCCCTGCCGTCTCGCTATGGCAGTACCATCCCTTCACTTTGACCAGTGCCCCCGAGGAGGACTACATCTCGGTCCACATTCGTTGCGTGGGTGACTTTACTAAGGAGCTTTCCAAGGCTTTGGGTTGTGATTGGAGTAAGAAGAGGGAACCCGGTGGCAACGATTCCAGCAAAGTCGTTGGTTTGACTGGACGCGACTCCGAGATCGATCCAGCTATCCGCCGTGTTCTCCCCAGAGTCTACGTCGACGGTCCTTTTGGTTCTGCCTCTGAAGATGTCTTCAAGTACGAAGTCTCGGTGCTTGTTGGTGCAGGTATCGGTGTTACACCGTTCGCCTCCATCCTCAAGTCCATCTGGTACCGAATGAACTATCCCCAGAAGAAGACCCGCCTAGCCAAGGTCTACTTCTTCTGGATTTGCCGTGACTTTGACTCCTTCGAGTGGTTCCGCTCACTGCTTCTGGCAGTTGAAGCGCAGGATCTGGACCACCGTATTGAGATTCACACGTACCTCACAGCCAAGATCAAGGCCGACGACGCGACAAACATCATGATCAACGATGCCAACGCCGACAAGGACACCATCACTGGTCTGCGCAGCCCGACAAACTTTGGCAGACCCAACTGGGACATGATCTTTAGAGGTATCAGGAAGCTGCACAGTCCTGCTGAGGCGGGTGTGTTCTTCTGTGGACCCAAGGGACTGGGAAGTTCGCTGCATACGTATTGTAACAAGTACACCGAGCCTGGGTAAGTTTCTATGCTATTGTTGATATGGATGTGAGAACCTCAGCTAACTTGACGCAGATTCTCTTTTGTTTGGGGCAAGGAGAACTTCTAAACTTTGTCTCTACCAATTTCATTCAAGTCTACGCAAGCGGATAGTCATGTTTGTAATAGTAAAAGGAACACGACACATGGGGTAGATTTACTGCAAGACCATCCATACCTGGTCTATGTTCTCGTTGAGTTATCATTTTAATACCGTAGAAACAGATGTTGCATCTCACCAACCAATACAACCTTTTTGTTGACAAGATCAGCCACATATTTCCAGTTCACTATTGATTAAGGGCTGTCTGCTATGGGGAGAGTAGTGTAAAGCTCGTGATTGAATCGAGGCGCAGCTGAAGAACTGACCACTTGGAGTGCTGACGTTGGACTATGCATTCCATCCATGCCACATCTGACCCAGATCTCGTCTGAAACGTTTCACAAGCCTGGAAAGTATCCTATAGCCACAGCTTACTGTTTTGAATAGAGAATCCTAAAGACGATTCTTACTAAGGATCGCGGGTATAACGGCAGATGAGAGTGATGCTCCCGCTCGATCTTGATCATCTCGGACAATGTCTGATTCACCAAAGATTTGAAAGCGTCAGTAATTAGAGAGGCAAAGACAACCTAACATGCCATGACCAAGAATTCCATGCAGGGTCTAGACGTGAGATGCAGAGTCGAAAATAACATTTTTAGACAACGACTGATATGTGCATGTCTCACCACCCAGCAACGTGTCCGAATACCAAGACCGGCATCAGTGGCTGGAGATAGGATATAGAGACGGGAAAGGCTTTTAAGATGCATGGTTGTATTTCATTATGGATGTTGTATCGTATGCATGTGTCCATATGCATTTGGGCTGACGGTCAGGCCGATGCAACCATCCAATCCGATTGAGTCTGGGTGAGAGTTTAGTTGATAAAGACAGGACCCTGAAGATCTGATGCTGAAAGTCTAATTAACAGTGATCGTGTCGTGTCAATACCGGGTACGGGAAGTTAATCAAGAGGCCTCACTAAGACTCGAAGCCCTTGTCGATTCCATCTCAGCTCAGCTCAATAACAGTGACTAGGTACTCCGACGGTTGACCCAACGGAAATCGAAACAAATTGGATGGCAGAAGGGGTTCCATTTTTGGGGTCAGACCCTGAGGTGCTCGAGTCGCTGAGCCTCGTTCATTGGACCCGGGCCCGTCATTTCTTCAGTGGAGGCCCCGCCCCGCCGCGCGCCGCTAGCACAGGTCACTTCAATCAGAAAGTCCACTGGAACCTCGTTAGCCTGTCAAAATACGAACCGGGACTTTGTTACTCATGACCACTCGGGAGATTGTGTCAGGCAGGGCGATCGAGTACCATGTAATTGGAATTATGGACTAGAATGCTTATTCAATTTGTGCTCTAAGTTTGGCAGTTACCTACAGCTACGTCTCTCTCCCTTATCTACAGTATGCTGTGAGAGGCCGAGGTAGTTGGCAGCCATTAAACTGATCCAATCCAATCAATGCACATTCAGCAACACTCAGCAACACACAAGCATAAACGGTTCAACGCCTCTTTCTTAGCTTCTCGCGCCACTTCCCTGTTGGATGGTAGCCGTCGTTAGTCTGCAGCAACCAAAACGAAGAGAAAAAAGTCTCAATCGTGCAAAACTCCCTCCATCAATCCCTCTTCGTCAGTCTTGGGTGCTTGGTCATTCGAAACTACAGGTGATTGTCATTTCTGGGCATCCGTCACGTTTTTGCCTCGCTCTGTAAAGATCAGCAGGAGATGCATTGACGACAGGTCCACGTTACTTGCGCATCGTGTATACCTCGTAAATAGAACACTAAACAATCTCAAAGGAGTTGGGGTGCAGCGCCATGACAAACGAGCTAGACCGTAAGGGGTGTCTGGCCAGGGGCTATAATGCCCATTTTGTCTGCTGTACAAATTGCTAGGTCAATCCCAGCTTGCCACGAATAGGTATTGCACAGTCTAGGTAGCCTCTAAATGAGGCTGTAGAAGGGCTTTTCACTGTTGATATCGTCTCTCTCGTCTTGACGTCTAATATTGTATAATTGCTCACCATCGGTAAACCGTTGACCGTTTCACTGTAACAATCCAAACACTATCATTCGTCAACTGAAATCTTGTCTCCCCCAATCAACAGTCATCAATGCATGGAGTTCGCTGTCAAAGTGCCAAGGATTCTGTACTTCGCCACTAAGTACCCTCTACATTTTAGAGCCCGTTCCCCGTACACGCAACTCGCTCGCTGGCAGCAAGCAAATTTTTAGTGTGGCCGGCGTCGCGCAAATCCGCTCTTCCCGCGCCATTCATTCCCAGTCCTCTTCATCACGAGCCTGGGCCCCCCCCGTCCCTCGTTTTGGTCATTCACTCACTGCCCTGTAGTATTTGCACCAGCAACTGGCACGCACTGCTACTACTACGCCTCTTCTTTCATCCTTCGTTTTCCTTCTCGTCTCACCCAAACTAACACAATACGAGTCGAGTAGTTATTCACTAGAATACTGCTTGGTCCTGCTCCTACTGTTTTCTAACACTCGTTACTATCTCCCTTTTTTCTTCCTCCTCAGTTCTTTTTTCCTTTTTTGTCCTTTGCTTTACGCGCCTTCGCTGTTTGCTGCCGCGCGTGCCTTTCGTACTCCTTATCCACATCGCACAAGCCGAGACAATCCAGCGACATTTTGCTCGACTTGACCACCGCTTGCGCCCTCTCCCCTATCAGACACGAGACACTAGAGACCTCTTCTTTATTTGAGACGGTCGCTGCTTTTCCCCATTGGATTTGTCGTTCCTTGTGCCGAACCCTCCCGGGTACTCCTTCGTCTCCTTACACGCCGTCACCCACCACCTCATATCGACGGCTTGATTGAATTGACGACAACACCGACCGTTCAAGATGCAGCTTCGACGATTCTTGCTTCTGGGTATGCTCCTCGGAGCCGAGGCCACTCAACTCGTTGCCCGTCAGAATTCCAACTCCGACTCTGCTGCTGCTCCCTCAACCGATTCTCCCGCGAGTACTGCTGAAGCCGATCCCACGAGCGACTCTGCTGCCACTACTGCCGCAGAAACTACCGCCGCCCAACCTACCGACGATTCTAGTACCGCTGACGGATCTACTACTGATGGATCTTCCGATGGAGGCTCAACCACGGCTGAGGATGTCATCGTTACCAAGACGGTGACTGTCACTGATGCCGATGCCAAGACCGTAAGCCGTCAGACTACTGTCATGAAGACAATTACATCCACTGTCGTCGTTACGTCGACTGCGTTCGATACCAAGACTGTTACTAGCAGCGACGCTGAGACCGCAACGACTACGACCTACGTTACCTCTACAAAGTGGGCTAACGAGAAGCGTGCCCTTGATTTGGCTCCTCGAACCATTGGTGGTGTTGAACTCGTTGCCCCTGCTTTGCCTACCTATACTACCACCACCAGTGCTCCTCCTCACTTCAACGCTCAGGTCGAAGGTGAGCACTACGGTCTCCGAGCCTTCCGACGAGGTCTTCACAAACGTGCCACTTCCACCACCACCGTTACTGTGACAGAGGGCGGCGGCGACTCCGATACCACCGTCTTCAATACCATTTCTCGAACCGTTATTTCCACCGTCAGCAGCCAGACCAAGGTGACCAAGACCATCACCGAGACCGAGCAGGCAGGTGCTAGTACCACTGTCACTGTCACCAGCACCCTTGTTGTCACATCTACTAGAGTGACCACTGGTGTTGTCCGCACAGCGACCGTTGCTCCTTCTGGAGAGTATGGTCCTTCCGGTACTGGCGGTGCCAGCTCTGATAACAACAGCAGCAGCAGCAGTAACGACGGGGGCCTCTCTACAGGTGCCAAGGCTGGAATTGGTGCTGGTGTTGGTGTTGCTGGCCTTGCCGTCATTGCTGGTCTCGTTTGGTTCTGTCTTCGCAAGCGCCGCAATGCTAAGAACAAGGCCGAGTACGACGATGTCTTTGGCGCCTCCGAGGTTCCTGTTGGTGGCCGTGGTGGTGGCGGCGCTGCTGCTGCCGGTACCAGCCCCCACATGTCCCAGACAACCGCCGCCGCCTCTACTCTGGCTCCCAGCCGCAACACCACCAAGTCCGAGGGCTACCGCGGTACTGCTCTGGGCGATGGACGTGCCGGTTTCGCCAAGCCCCAGCAGTTCGGCCGCAGCTACATGCCCGTTAGCCCCGAGACCAACTACTCTCGCACTGCTGGTAGCGACCAGGCCTATTCAGCTACCACTCCCGAGAACAACTACGCACACCCTGTGGGCGGCTCTCCTAACCACAATGCTGCTGAGATGTACAGCCCTGCCAATACAGCTGAGCTGGCCAGTGACAGCGCTGCTACCAAGTGGCATCAAAATGATGCTGCTGAGATCGATGGCAACCAGGTTTCAAGCGCTCGTGGAACAGCACCCCCTGAGAACGTTTACGAGATGCCCGCACAACCCTACAGGTAAACGATGAGGTTGCCAGTTGGCCAGCACAGTGGTCACTGGTAATGGAATGGATGGATGAGGAAAACTTCAAGATTCGATGAGACTTCCCCTTGTAGCTAGAGGGAGGGGAAATAATTAATGTCAGATACTGTACATATTGTAAACCCTTACTTTTTTTTTTCCCTTGCGTATGACGAGATCACACATCGGTAAAGCGAACAAGAGCGGGAGATGATGTCTCCCATTGCATGACTTGTATATCTTCCACTGCTACCATTTTGGGTTCAACAGAGGTGTGGATGATTTGAGGTGTTTAGTGGATTAGATACGTTGATGCAATAAAAAAGAATTAAAATTTGACAGTCTAAGATCTATGTTAACTATTTCCGATCGTCCATATCTCGAAATTAACTACTCTCTGTGCAATTGATGTGAGACACTGTTTTAGCTTCTATTTGTTTGTCTGTTTGTTTGTCTGTTTATGGTCCAACGTTGCAACGTTGGTATCCGGCATTGCTCTTAACGTGATATTATTCCCGCTGATTAATTAAGCTTCAAGAAACTCTACTCTAGTGGATTTATCCGCCGTTCGATAGATCGACTCAGTCA